AAATAAATAAAATAATGAGCTCAGAGATAATACAGCATTGTAATTTGTAAATGAAGATCAAGTTTTCTATTCACGAACATTTTCCTTAAATATTTTTAGATTAGGCATCCTTCAGTTTTGAGAGACTATGGTAACATGCTCTGAATGGAGGTCTTGGAACAGCATCTAGTGTGGCTGAGAAGGCCAATTGGAGAGTAACAATCCCTCCCACACTGAAGACAGATACAATCTGTCCCCCTATCCAGCTCCCTGATTTTGCTGGTTTCAGGACTGCCTCTGTGCCTTGGCCTGCTGGACAAGGGTCTCTTCAAATTGGGAGAGGTCATGCTGCACTGCCTGCCTCCAGGCTGAATGCTCAGATGTCAAAGTTTCCCATCTGTTGAGGTCCATTCCTAAGGCCTTCAGATACTGCCTGCAGATATCCTTGTATTGCCCTCTGGCATGATTTCCCTGCACTAATTCTCCATACAGGAGATCTTTTGGAATCCGACTATCAGTCATTATCACAACATGCCCAAGCCAACATAGATGGCACTGTTTCAGTAATGTATACATGCTGAAAACTCCCGCTCATTCTAGGACTACTCTATTTGGAACTTTGTCCTGGCAGGTGATACTAAAACTGCGTCAGAAACAATGCATATGGAACATCTTCAGCTTTCTCTCCTGCCGTGCACAAAGGGTCCAGGACTCACTGAAGTACAGGAGTGTATTAAGGACACAGGCTCTATAGACCTGGAACTTGGTATATGCTGTCAGCTTCTTATTAAGCCATACTCTCTTTGTGAGTCTTGATAACATGGTAGCTGCATTGCCAATCTGTTTGTCCAGCTTGACATCTAGGGAGAGAATGTCAGAGATTGTTGAGCCAAGGTACTCAAAGTCATGAACAACCTCCAGTTCTTGTGTGGAGATGGTAATAGAGGGAGGTGAGTCCATGCCCTGGCCCATGACTTGTATTTTTTTTTCAGGCTGATTGTTAGTCCAAAGTCTTGGCAGGCCTTATTAAAGGTATTCATGAGTTGTTGGAGGTCTTCAGCAGAATGGGCAACAACAGCTGCATCATCTGCGAAGAGGACTTCCGCCATGCATTTCAGCTGGACTTTGTTCTTTGCTCTCAATCTAGAGAGATTAAAGAGCTTTCCATCTGATCTAGTCCGGAGATAGACACTTTCTGTTGCAGTTCCAAAGGCATGCTTCAGCATGACAGAAAAAGATCCCAAACAGGGTCGGTGTGAGGACACAGCCCTGTTTCACTCTGTTTCGGATGTCAAAGGGATCTGATGTTGAGCCATTAAAAACTATAGTGCCCTTCATTCCCTCATGAAAGGACCTGATGATGTTAAGGAGAGTAGCTCAGAGTATCCAATCTTGGGAAGTATTTTAAAAAGGCCGTCCCTGCTAACCAAATCAAAGGCCTTTGTGAGATCTACGAAGGCCACAAAGAGTGGCTGTCATTGTTCCCTACATTTCTCCTGCAATTCTCTGAGGGAAAATACCATGTCAGTGGTGGATTTATTAGCTCGAAATCCACACTGTGATTCTCCTGGAGTCTCTTCAGCATAACACAGGCAAGCAGCTTCCCTACGTCCTGTCTCCTTTGTTCGTAAACAATGTGACAATGTTTGCATCATTCACGTCCTGTGGTACTCCACCTTCCCTCCAGCAAAGACAAAAGATTTCATTCAACTCGGTGGTGATAATCTCTTTACAGCACTTCAGCAGGGATGTTATCCTTCTCAGGTGCCTTGCCGGAGGCTAGGGAATTCAAGGCTGCTTTTATTTCTGCAAAAGTTGGTTTGCTGTCCAACTCTTCCAAGATAGACAGGTAGTTGATGTTATTTAATGCCTCTTTGGTTACTACATTCTCTCTAGAATATAGCTCAGAGTAGTGCTGCATCCAGCATTCCATCTGCTGTGCTCGGTCCTTAAGTATATCAGTTGCCCATTGGTAGTTGAATAGTCTTCCCAAGAGTAGCCCATGTGGAGAGTGTTACAGTAACTGATCTTAGAGATTACCAGCACATGCACCAAAATTGTTAGGGGACATACACACCCATCTAACCAGTACAACTGGGCAATCAATCAAAATGAGAGATATTTTCACTACACTGATTTTGAAAACCATCTGCAAATTGAGAGTTTTGACTTATCTGGGGAAAATCAAGCTCAGTTCTCATAAATAAAAGATTTTTGAACAACTTCATAACAATGTCACAAATACTGTAAATTTGTACAGTACCATCATTAGAACCAGTTGGTATTCATATTATGGTGTGCAATTCTCAGGTTCCACAGATTTTTAATTTACTGTTTTTGCAGTACAGACCTTAAAGGAGGGAGAATTGCTTCAGTCTTGAGATCATAGTGGAGTAAAGCAATGCAGACAAATTAAAACATAGTTTTGCCTTCTTAGGAGATGCTAGAGTTATACTGGGGCAGAGAAGCAGTACAAGTTCTCTCTTTGGAAATGCTGTGTACTTTTAAGTTCCCCTTTTTAAAAGCTCTCATCACTTGCCTGTCTTTCCAGTGTATATAAATAAACTGGAACTTTTTTTGCTTTGTCATTTTATTTTAAATGCATTGCAGTCTTCCTGGAATATCTGACACATTTTAATGTCAAGTATGCTCTTTGCATCTAGCATACATCAGTTATTTCCTTTTTCATGAACTTTGGGAAGGAATGGGCTGAATTGTTGTCTGGCTTTTTGCCTGCTATTCACCCGTTGGAAGCATGCCTCTGTTGCTGGAACAAATGATTCCACTAGACAGCAAAGATTCTCTTGAAGACCTATTGTCATAGTTCAGGAAACAGCAATTACATATGATACTACATAGACTATTTATTGCAGCCTAGGGGACGACAGAGTACAAGATGGTTGGACAGTGTCATCAAAGCTACCAACATGAATCTGACCAAACTCTGGGAGGCAGTGGAAGACAGGAGGGCGTGGCGTGCTCTGGTCCATGAGGTCATGAAGAGTCGGACATGACTAAATGACTAAACAGCAACAAACGTATATTATTATTACTTTTGAGATTAATAAGTTGATTTAAACAAACCGTTTCCATATCATACTCCATTAAAAATTCCTGATATAGTCCATTATTATTAATAACAGGGGCCGCATAGTGGCCACAAAATTTGGCTTGGGCCTGGAAATATTAGGAGCTCCCAACTTAATTCGGCTTTGTACTATTTCTTTAGAATTGGGCATTCACCTATCTTCCACAACTGGCTGGTTACTCACATTTAAATTTTGACTCCGTCTTTTTTTAAATTCGCATTCTGGATCCCTGATATATGATTTATTGTGCGATTCCTACTCCTTTTCTTGGTTCCAGCTTATTGAAAAGAAACTTTTTTCTCTTCACATATCCCTGGAATCTTTGGTAGATATGAATCTCACCAGGGCTTAGTCTATAATCAAGGGCAAGCTCTGTCATGCTGAATTCAATTACCTATGTAATAACCTTAATCCTGTATGTTCCTCTTTTTCTGTTGGGTTTTTTTTTCCATCTCAGGATCATTCTCCCAAATATTTCCATTCCCTAGTAAACCCACATCTAAGAAGAGCTTTTATGTTAGCCCGTTTTAATATTTTTCTTTTGGCCACCCATGTCGATCGATTTCTTAATATCCCTCGTGAAAAAAAGACTTTGGTGTTTGTTTGTTTGTTTGTTTGTTTAGAGACTCCCGACACCCTGGTTCATATACTGTTTCAATACCCTGCTCATTCCCACCTCCGAAATTTTTTTCTTGAACCTTGGATCTCTTATTTTTCATTCTCACCTCTGAAATTTTTTTCTTGAACCTTGGATCTCTTTTTTTTTTTCAGTTCTTCTGAGTTAATTCTTTCTATTTTCATGAGTAATGAATGTAATTCCCTGACCGCTGACTCCTGGGAACATCAATTGATCATTTTTGTAAATGTTAAAAAGTAACAGTGCCAGTACAGTGCACTGTAAGAGACCGGTCCTTTGATTTTTCCAGTGACTGTGCCTCCCTTGAGATTCAGCTAAGAATCTTTGGTTTTGAAGTAGTACAGCGATCATTTCTGTTAGTCCTTGATCTTTAAGAAGGAGATAGAGCTTTTTGAGCAGCAATTGAGGGTAGATACAGTCGTGCCTCGCTTTACGATTGCCCCGTATAACGACGAATCTGCTTAACGATGCTTTTTTTGCGATCGCAAAACCGATCGCAAAATGATGCTTCCTATGGGCGATCGCGAAATCATGCTTCCTATGGGCAAAATCCACTGTGCGATATCAGTTCACTGCTTTGGCAACCGATTTTTCGCATTATGACGATCAGTGAACAGCTGATCGTCGAGTTCCAAAATGGCCACCGGCTGAAGAAAATGGCCCCCCACTGTTTTCTAGGACGGATTCCTCGCTAGACAGGCACCAAAAATGGCTGCCGTATGGAGGATCTTCGCTGGACAGTGAGTTTTTAGCCCATTGGAATGCATTAACCGGGTTTTAATGCATTCCAATGGGTTTTTTATTTTCGCTGTACAATGTTTTCACTCTACAGCGATTTCACTAGAATGAATTAACATTGTTAAGCGAGGCATCACTGTATACCACTGTAAGTCGTGCATATTTTTCATTGACAAGTGGGAGTCATTTCTCCCATCCAGTATTCGAAGTAGAAACACAGTGAAAGGTAAGAATTATAGGTGACAAAAACAGGGAAAAGATGTCTATCTGGGAGGAAGAGACCTGAAAACTGAATGGAATTCCTGATCTTCAGCAATCTATTGTTGAAGACCATATGTTAGGAATGGGCAATAGGGAAGAACTGTTGTTTTTGTGCTTAAGAAAATATTAATACTGTACTATTTCCTAGTTCAATATACATTCCATTCTGTTTTTTGCAGCCCCCAGACATCCAAAATATATTTTGTCTCCACAATGGAGAATTGGGGCAGGATTGCTTTTACTATCCTGTCATTAGATAAACACCAGTGAAGTGCAATTTTTGTTTTAACAGCTGCCTGATGAATGTTGAGTGGTTCTGCTTGAACCATGACTTGCTGCCAAAAGGATGTGTAAGGAACTCAACTTTTGACTTCTCAGATTACATTTCTGGATGTGCAGTCCATACAGTGAGGGATTCTGAGCTAGGGATGCAAATCTTAACTGTGTAAGTATAAGATACTGCAAAATGTTTCTCTTCACCTGCAAAAAAGAGATATTTTCTGTTAATCTCAAAGGAGTTTTCATATTTCAAGTTTGTTGGGGGGCAGATTTGCCACAAGCCAGTGAGTTGCTGATTTTGTTGCACTGACTTTTAAATCTAGAAGCATAAACTGAGTTGCTTGTGTATTATTAATCAAGCAGTCTTTCCTTCTGTGCTTCCTGTGTGTTTATGTGTGTATGCATTGCTTCACAAATGGAAAAGACACAGTTATTTCATGTATGTTGCTAAAACCACAATGGGAGAAGTTTTTTTTTCCATTTCCCTGCTGGTGCATGAAATCTTGCTAGTGATAATGAACTCACACCAGTGAAATTTCTTCATATCTCCATTCCAAGCATCATACAGATAGGCCACACATGGAGGCAACTTGAAGAATACAGACCACATCATCCCTTCTTTTGCAACCCCAAACAGAAAATTAATTTTGGCTACCAAAAGGAGGACTTGGGGATGGTATATCACAAGGCACTCATCAAATCTTCCTATTTAATCTTGGCACTAGCCAGGCATATAGAAAGAAAGGGAGGGCAGAGTAGCAGGCAGGTATTCAACATGCTGACTATATAATTTTAATGAGTTGCTACTCCTCTAGCAACCTCTTTAACATTTACTTCATTGGTGCCTAAATTTTAGGGGGATTAGTAAAAATATTCAGATTGGACTCAAAATGAATTGGAAGAACCTGATCGAAAAACATGGAGACCAATGAACATGCATCATGCACTACATCCAAAAAGAGATGTGGACAAATTATATTTACGATGAAAAGTTGGAGGCCATGGATTACTGCAAATATAGCAGGTAGTAGAGGAAGAAAAAAGAAGCCTAAATGATTATATCAGAACAAGTAGAGAAAATTACTGAAGGTGGTGAAAATGGAGAATATTTTTGAAAACAACAGAAACAAAGGCTCAATATAAGAAACAACAATTTGAAAAGAAATTAAACAGCTGGAAAAATAAACCACTACATGGACAACACCTGAGGATATTGATGGAAAGCATGATAATAATTCAACATGGACATGGCTAAAACTGGAGAGCATTAAGAAAGAAACCGAAGACATGATTTTTGCTTCACAAGAACAAGCACTCCAAACCAATGTGATGAAAGCTAAGATCCAAGGAATTGGTGTCAACAAGAACTGTCAACTCTACCAAGAAAAAGATGTAACTGTGTCATACCTCATCAGTTGAATGTCCAAAGATTGCACAAACAGATTACAAAATTAGATATGATAGAGTGGGAAAAATAGTGTACTGGTCATTACTGAAAAAAAATATAACTTGCCAGCCTACAAAAACCAGAGAAGGTGTCAGAAAATGACGATACCAAACTAATAGGCATCTTGAACATAACACACCAGACATAGTAGTAATAGAATTAAAAAATATCTGGATCGTTGACATTGAAATTCCAGAGGATGCTAGAGTTGAAAATAAAGAATTGGAAAAACTAACTACAGAGACCTGGCAATTGAAACATCTTGCTTGTGGATGAAACACACTTCAGTGATCTCTTTAGTCATCGGGGCTTTGGAGCAATATCAAGAAATTTCACACAGTATTATAAGCAGTTTCACATCTCAGAAATTACACCATCAGAGCTACAAAAAATGGCAATATTAGGAATAGCATACCTACTGTGCCAATATTTAACAGATAGGGTGTTGGTTAAAACTTGTACAGTGGTGCTTGATTTACAAACTTAATCCGTCCCAGAAGATGTTTGTAAGTCAAAACATTCGTAAGTCAAATCAGCATTTCCCATTGAAATGCATGGGAACGGGATTAATCCGTTCCAGCATTTCAAAAAAATACCAACATCAAAATAAAAATAAAAATAAACAAAGCAAGTCACATGCTGGGACTGCAAAAAAAAATCACCAAAAAAACAACAACAAAGACAAAAACTTTATTAAAAAGTAGCACCTTACCGGTACAAAGCCTCCTCAGCCTCCTGGGCTTCCACCGCTGCTGGCTGCTCGGCGGCCAGGAGGCTTGAGCTTGGCCGGGGTGCTTCGGCTGCTCGCCTCCCGGCTTGCCTCCTGCTTGCTCCTTGCCGCCCTCTGCGGACTGATGCAGCCGCTGGTACCTGACGCCAGCTCCAGCTCCGGAACTGGCACCAGCGGCTGCTCCCCTGGGCAGCCACGTCGGTCCTCAGTGCTCCTCGCTGCCCTCCACAGGCCGATGGTGGGAAATTCAAATGGCCTCCCAGCCAGGGTCTGGCTCCCGCAGCCCAGCCGGGACCCAGTGCTGGGAGCTAGAGCCCGGCCAGGATGGGTCCTCGCCTCAAATTGTTGTTTAGTCGTTAAGTCGTGTCCGACTCTTTGTGACCCCATAGACCAGAGCACGTCAGGCCCTCCTGTCTTCTGTAAGGTGTGTGCATGTTTGGCCTGGATCAGGTGAAGAACCAGAGAGAGAG